CAGTTTTCACACTTGTCACATTAATACGCGCACACATACACACACACACACACAGAATAGCTTTCTTTAATGCATCAGTTATTGTAGACGTACATGGGCACCATCGTACAAACACACACAGACTCGTATGCACATACAAGCAGTTTCTAAAACGCCACCAACTGTACTCACATGAGTGCACGGGTACTCATAAGCATCACGATCAGTTCTCACTGGTTCCCATTTGCCCTGTAACCACAAGAAAACAAATATAGGCCTCCTGGATATGTGTGTTGGTGTGTGTCTGTGTAGCAACTGGGGCGTGAGAGAGGGCTATCCTGTGAGTGTGTGTGTGTGTGTGTGTGTGTGTGTGTGCCAGACTGTTGTGCGGTCTCGGGTGTAAACGTGCAGTCAGGACTCATTTGGCAGACAAACAGGCCGCAGGGTGGCTGGGGAATCGACGTGTGTTTGTGTGTGTGTTTGTCTTTATGTGTGTGTCTGATAGAGCAAAGGGAAGAGAAAAAAGAAAGAGCGCAAGAGCAAGCAGTAGAGGTTAAGTCTGCATGACTGCACTGCAGCCTCTTTCTGTCAGACCAATGTGTGGCACACACACACATACCTACACACACCACACACTCTCTTTCTCTCTCTCTGTACCTTCATAGATAAAAGAGAATGTCCTAATATTTTAGCAGACACACCCAAACAAAAGCACACACACACATATGCAACCAAGTTTTGATCATTAAGTTGACCCGATGCACCTCTTAGCTTATCCAAATCATTATGTACACACTCAGGGTCTGGAATTAACACCCAGCAAGCGACAAATGTGGGTAGATTTTCCATTGGTGGGAAATCTCAGAGGGGCTATCCACCACGCTGGCAGGTAAATGTTTGTCCCAAAATAGCCACGTAATAAAAAAACGCTGAGAGTCTTTACCACATTTTGGCGTCATTAACTGGTGTGCTGCTCAGCTGCTTCTCTTCTGTCACGTGTGGTTTTACGTGCATCTTGCAGTGAAACTGACCATCTCAAGGGCTCCTAGTTTTGCACCATGAAGCACTGTTAACCGTACGGGACATCAGCTGATCCGCTAAACCATCACTTGCCACTGGTCTGCTGCTACTGTGGGTACAAAGGGTTATGACTTGTGCCCATTTGCATGGGGGTATTAAATAACAATACAGAGGCTCTGAAGTCTGAACCAAGACAGAACACTCTTTATTCCTCCAACAGTGTCAACAACAGCATTTTACAGCGCCACTTCTTCTGTTCTTACCTTTCACAATAAAAGCTGGTGATGAGTCGTTCACTGTACTGAAAAATTTTGCGTACCGTAACACCCATTATCACAATGAAATGTACTTAAACAAATGCATGTGTGGCAAAAAGGCAATTTATTATGTTGGCCAATGAAAATGTGCTTGGACGGTCTACAAGTCCTCTCAGCCAGGGAGACAAAAAGTTAATTTCGGATTCTGTACACACTTGTGTTTAGTAGAAACTCTTCACCCCTAGCTTACCTGGTAGATCGGGCACCCCTGTACAAAGGCTACGTTATTGCTGCAGCAGCTGCGAGTTCGATTCCAGCCCCTTGCACTGTGCTGCATGTTATCCCCGCTCCCTCCCGCCAACACTCTAAAGTTTCCCTGTCTAATAAAGGCAATATGCCAAAAAAAAATCTTTAAAGAAAAAATAATATTCAACCCTGTCTCCTAAAAATGAAGTTTATATACTACTAAATGGTTTTGCTGGAAATGCTTAACAGGAAATGTAAATCCTGCCCAATGTTCCAATACAGCAAGATGTAGCGTGTACTGGAGATATAAGCATATATCCAATAATGGTGTCCAGGGGGCACATGGCTTTACTTGCAGGTCATGTCCTTAAGCAATTTTCTCTCCTTTCAAGTGTATATTAATATGTTTATGCCAAGCTTTGAACTTTATTTTCATTGTACATTACTGTACACTCAGCTCAGCTCACCACCACCACTGCCACCACAGTAAACACAGGCTGTTCAACATCCACACATACACAAACACACTCCCACACATAGTATGAGATGCCTTATCAACAATGGGCAGAAAGGAAATGTAATTAGAGCCAAATAGGGAACCTTCTTTTGTCAAGTGAAATCACAGGTATGAAAGAAAGGTCTCCACCCCTCCCACCAACATCACCATCTCTCCCTCTAACACCTCTCCCGCTTTTTACTTTCTTCTCCCCTCCGCCTCACTCGTTCTTGTGCTCTCTCTCTCTCTCCATCAATACCTCTCTCTCTCCATCATCAGCACTAAATTCCCATTGATGTTTCTTTTCTTCTGCTGTATCGATCGCTTCATGAGAAGGAGGGGAGGAAGGGAAGAAGGGAGAGATGGCGTTATCTGTTAATTAATTTGTCCTGAAGCTGGCCGCCTATTAATCAGACAGATAAGAGGCATTGGATGGCTGAACAGCGCAGACAGGCTGGCGGGGAGGGGAGGGGCGTCAGGGCACACACACACACAAACACAGGGAAATACACACAGATGAAGAGGCACATGCAGGGACTCACAGAAACATAAATATATATAGGAATGTATGCATACACAAAGGACATAAACATGCTGATGAAACAACAAACCAGCACACTTACAGTGCAATTATGTATATTATGAACAAGTACACATTATAGGTATACACATATTCACACACCACACACACACACACACACACACACAAACCAGGTCCTGATAAAAATCATTGATGTACCTCAATAGGAAAAGCTGCACTTTCAGCTCAATAAATTAATCACAGGGGTTTTAATTATTGGTGTGCGTGTGTGTGTGTGTGTGTGTGTGTGTGTGTGTGTGCACATATAACTGTGCATTTTAAGTGTAATTAGGAGGGAGATTATTTTTGATGCATCAGGGAAGTGTAAACCATATTATCGACATATAGCTAATCATTCAGGAGTGTTTTGGACGACTCTTACAATTTTTTTTACCTTGTGTGTACCTGTGTATTTTTGTTCCCGTGACTCCATGTATATGTATGCATATGTGTGTGTGCCCACTTTTTGAGCCTTGTGTGCCCCCACTGCCCCCGGATCAAATTCCACCAGAGGGATGTGTGCGAATTGATTGAACCCTGCGTGCTGCTCCCAATGCCAAAGCACTGAAAACACACACACACACACACACACACACACACACACACACACACACACACACACAGACAAGTTAAAACGCACAACCAGTGACACCATTAAATGATATTAACCCCTCACTCATGTCTTCCTCTCTTCACTTGACCCCAGGGTTTAAACACATTCAATAAGTGTGTGGGTTAATTTTAGCAGTGCCCATGCTTATTTCCCCTGCCCACGATGAGTGGTGAAGTCCTAAGGACCCCCTAAAGACATCTGTGAAAGGGATGTGTGCGTGCGTGTGGGTGTGTGCATGAAGACCCCCTTAAGAAATTCACCTCTAATCCCTTCTGATGATTTCATTAAGTAGAAGAAGACACTGCCAGTTGGCAACAGTACTGCTCGCTTCACTGTGCCCTGTGTGTGTGAATGTGTGTGTATCAATCATACGCAATTGGATTCATTCCAGTGTGTTCCTATGCTTTTTTGTATACTGTGTGTGTGCGCAGCAGTGTCTGTCTACTGTACATAAGTGTGTGTGTGTGTGTGTGTGTGTGTGCGTGCATGTTGGAGCTGTTAACAGTTGTAGATAGAATGAATTAGAGCACATTACAAACAACAATAGCCTGCAACCTGGACATAATGAGACGCCTGCCATTACCCATCAACACACTGTGAGATAAGAGCCCCTAACGCACATGCACACACCCTAACACACACACACACAGTCTCACACACCTACCATCTCAAGAGGAGGCACATGGCAGCAGATGTTGTTGAGGAAATATCTTCCTTCTCATCTGCCTGCTTCTCCTGGCAGGATGCTCCTCTCAAACACACACACACACGTCCACACACACACATACACAAACTGGATGGCTGCGGTGAGGTCTGACAGGTGTGCTCACATGGGCTACTGTCTTTGCCTTTCCTATGAAGGCTTGCACACACACCAAAACACACACACACATGGGTAGGCAGGCAGGTGTGAATGGGCAGGTGTGTGAGGAGAGGACAGCTGTGAGGAAAGGTGTGAGTGGGCAGGTGTTCCATTAAAGAGATAGACAGACAGGAAGCGAAAGACAAGAGAGGGAGAGACAACAGGCGTTAGTCTGCTGCACTTAAGTAAGAATGTAAGATATGAAATGAAGAAGTGGAAATATTACAAACAAAATGAGAGTGGAATAAAGGAGACATTCAGCACAGGAAGTGCAGACAAAAAGCAGTAGACAAAAAAATGTGAACCAGAGACAGACCGAAAACAGACACGACATGGAGACTGAAATGTATCAAGATGGATGGGGGAAAAAAAGGGTGAAGGCAGAATCAGACACACAGATGGTCAGTCGTAGATAGACGCTGACAGATAAAGCAGCATGGATTGCGATTGGAGAGACAGACAGGTATAGACGTAGGCAAATAGAAAGACATGGATTGACACCGGAGAAAGCAGGAGTTTTGAGGCCATAGCAGCAATTAGTCTGTGTGTTTGAGCGGTGCAGCAGCGATGGCCAGCATTGATCCATGGAGGCTGTGTCAGGGGGAGATAAGGCCTGCCTTTCCCCAGAGAACAGCCCTGGGCACAGGGGAGAGGGGAAGAGGAAGAGGAGGAGGAGGAGGAGGAGGACTGTGGTCAGCTGGATGGATGGAGGGTGGGCAGGGAGAGAAGAAAGGAGAGCCGATCTTGACCCTCTCACCAGCTTCAAAACAAGCTTTACTCTCTCCTTTTCACTCTCTTTGCTCCTCTTAAGTTTTACTTTTAAAAGCCAATTAATATATTTTACTTCCTGCACAGCAAAACAGTATTTAAAAAAAAACAACCTAACTGTTTGCACACTAAATTAACAACACTCTCTCTGTCTCCGTCTCTGTCTCAATCGTTCCCAGGGTTCTCTACGCTGTCTTTGGCAGACCAGATGAGTCTACTGCAGAGTGCATGGATGGAGATCTTGATCCTACGTGTTGTCTACCGCTCACTGTCCTTTGAAGACAAGGTCAGCATCTTTCACTTCAGGTTTGCTTCTTGTTCTAATGACATATAAAAGTACATGTTTATCTGCAACCTCTCTGTGTGTTTCTCTTTAGTTGGTGTATGCAGAGGACTACATAATGGACGAGGACCAGTCGAAGCTAGCCGGACTTCTGGACCTGAACAATGCCATCCTCCAGCTGGTGAAGAAATACAAGACTATGAAGCTAGAGAAGGAGGAATTTGTCGCTCTCAAGGCCATCGCTTTGGCTAACTCAGGTATGAAACTGCTCATGTTTTTGTCTCTGTGTGTGTATGTGTGTGTGTTTGAGTTTGTGAGCACGCGACTCCTGGAGAAAGAGTTAATCCTAGGCATCTCCATTCCCATGGGACTCATTTAAACTGAATCATCAAAGGACTGATTTCAATACTCCACATCCAAACACACACATGACTGCGACACCTGACGCATACTTTCGCACACTGCACCTGCAGTTGTCAAACCTTCTACTTTCACTGTTAAAGCCATTTGTCTCATCATACTCCTAACCGTCACACATGCCCACAATTAATTATTTTACACACAGAAAGGTATAAAAACACACACACACACACTCTTCAACCTGAAGCCCACCTCCCACCCCCAAACAAAGTGGCGAGCCCTTTTACAATTAGCATAGTCGTCTTTTCAGATGCCTGTTAAATAAGCTGAAATCATTAGAACCCAAAGTCTGTCGATAAAGCCCCCTCTCTGATGTGTCCAGCTGCATCGACAGCTGACTGACACACGCACACACACACATACACACACACACACGCTCCTCCTCACACACATACACACACGTACACCTTCTTCCTCCCATGACCCGTCTTTTGAACTTTGTCTTGGAAGCCGGCCAGCTCTTCAGTACTTTAATTACAAGGGGGGAGCTGTCAATACAATGTGTTTAAATGGGAGAATGCAACGGGAGAGCTTTGAATAGGGAGGGAGGTGCCTTTTGTTCTGATTCTGCCACCATCAACACACGCGCACATACGCCGACACATTCACACACACAAACACACTCAAGCTCTTTTTCTCAAATATCATCTCTCCGGCACATGAACACATACATATAACATTAGTGTGTGCTTATATATGAGCCACTAAAAATGTTTGCTCACACACATACAGCACATGCTGTCATGCACATGCAGAAAGTATTGACATGTTGTTTTCCTGTGGGCTATGTGACAATCAATCTCTTGGCTCTGCCTGTTTGTGTGTTTGTGTGTGTGCATGTGTTGGTCTATAAATGTTGCAGACTGAAAGTTGAGAAAGCCGTCTGGTTCTGCAGGCTGGACAGCAGTGGTGATGATCATGATGATGGTGATGATGACTTATTTGGCAAACAGGTGTTACATAGTCCTCTTTGCCCCTGAGATTTACAGTGGTCTGGATGAGTTGACAGGTCTGGTAGAGAGAGAAGGAGTGGTTTAAACCAAGCGGCAACCTCTGTGGCTGAAAAATAAATCCAATGTGGAAGTGTCCAAAGCTGCAGTTCCTCTAATGGCCACTTGAGGCTGGCTCCATGAGCAAATCAGTCCCCATAGACACCTATGTTAAAATGATTAACTTTACAGCAGAAATAAACATGTTTACAGCCTGCTGCAATTTTTTTTGATCTCTATAGCAAATGTCAACATTCATGACAACCTTACAGGGGGTAGATGCTTATATAACTTACCCGTTTACATTTTATGAAGGCTTAAAGTTGTGCATAATTAAAATCGAGGCCACTTTGAGTGACTATGAGGCATCACCACAGAGTCAGGTGCACCCCTCACGCTTCCACAGCTCCATCCTGTCGTCCATATTTGGTCACTTCTTTCTCCAAAACACCAAGGTGGCAAGTGCCTACTAGAGGCTTCAAAACAGAAGTCCACAAACCAATGGTTGACGTCGTGGTAGCTGTGTCCAATATTTTATACAGTCAGTAGAACAACCTTTTAAACATAAAAGGTAACATACTCAGATTTATTAGATACACCCATTTAACGTGCTGCCACTCAAAATGTTGTGAATCTTATAATATTCAATTATTGCTGTTACTACTTCAGATTATTTTCCTTATCTATTAATCTGGCAATACATTTCTTGATTAATCTTTTGGTCCATAACATTTCCTGCCAGGACATCTTCAAATTGTTTTGTCAAATCAGAAACCAAAGATATTAATTTTTGCAAAGATAGAAAACAAAACAGCATCACATCTTTACATTTTGCAAGCTGAAACCAGAGAGTATTTTTGCCTTAGAATTATGTTAAAAGGTTAAACAATTATTAGATTTTCTGTAGATAAAATTATAAATAAATCAGCTCATTGTTAAAGCTCTAGATCCAACTTCCTGGTAATTTCCAAGTAAGTGGTGACATTGTATTGGTCTGCATTTTTAATGAATGTTTTCAATGCTATACCCGCCCACAGTTACACACATATATTGTTCTATGTCAACACTGCACCTTCATTTTCACTTTTTTGTTTTGTAAATACAGAGTAACATGTCAAAAACCTCCCCATATCAGGAGGGTACTTAGTACAATAATAAATAGTATTGTTCCTGTCAGGCTGTGGCAGATGAAAGCAGAAAACTAATGGGTAAATGTCAAACTACAATATGCATTTTATTTTGCAGGGGGAAATAGCATGCTGTTAACTCATACTGAAGCTGAAATCCATTTGTGAATTTGGCACATGCAACATAAAAAATATCCCGATAAGTCCGGAAAGTAATTATCCATCAAAAGCTTACCTCACTGTTGAGAGAGCTCACATTTGAAATAGTCATTCGTTTAACTGATTGAAATCGAAACAGCTGACGCCCAAATAAGAACTTTGCATCATTGCCCAGACTCTCCAACTGCTCTTCAAGACAACAGAATGCTAGCATTAGCATTTTGAAGGGCACTGACACTAATTAATTCACAGGATGCTAATCGTCTGCATTAATGAAGCCAAGCCTTAAGAAATGTTAGCAAACGTGCCCCACATGTAAAGACAGCTAAACTAGCCATGGGAAACAAGAGGCACGTGTCTGTGTGTGTCCCTGTGTGTGTGTTGTGTGTGTCTGTGCGTTCATTTGTGTGTGTGCATTGTGAGCTCCGTGTTAACATGTGTGTTTTAACAGCCCTGTGTGCTCGTGCTCATTAACGTCTGCTGTTTTACTTGTGAGTGTACTGCGGGTCAGAGCGCAGGCAGCAGCCATGTCTACCAGCTTAAATACTAAACACACAGTATTAATCAAAAACAATGTGAAACTCATTAAACTTCATTTTAACTCGTGGTCATTATGGGCTGTACATCAGGTATCCGCTCATTAGAAATCCAAGTAAGGGATTGTTTTTTAATTGCAACCGGCAGTAACACTCATTGATTTGTACATCACTCATTCTTGAGAGCAGGGACAAAACCTTATTTTGGGTGAGGTTGATTTTTACTCTTCAATTAGGCTGGGAAAATATATTTTAAAACATCAAAGTATTGACTATTAAATCCTGTAATGGGCCAACCTCCCAATGATTTCATTTTTTCTTGAATAGCAGACATAATAGATGTCAGATCTGACAGTGTACACGTTACAGTGTTGACAAAAAGTTATCTATTTATCAATTCACAGCAGTCGTAGTGAGGAGCAATTTTATTTTCAAAGTTTCTATAGCTAAGTTCTCTTAAAGCTCATCAAAATACAGATTTTTATACCATAATTCTTTTTTAGTTTTCATCTAGAAGGTTTAAGGAGTTGACCTGTTATGGTTGAGACACACCCAAAATTAATATCATTAATGATAAAATAGAAATATTACCAGTACTTGAGCAGCATTCCTGTCTTTTTGGAGACCAGGAAGTGAGACAGGAGTTCTTGGAAAATTGCTAGCCCCTTTTATGCCTCATTAAATTATGTTTTTGTAGAAATCTGACAGATGACAAAAATTGAAGACACATCTTAAAAGGGCCAATATTTCATTAAAAGAAATATGTTTAAAAATAAGATGACTATAACAGTACATTTTTCCACTGATGTTAACAGTAGATACTGTTAGTTTTACATTTTGAAGGCATTTCACACTTTTTTTAATTGTTTGAAGACGTAAATGCTTGTCTAAGGCAAGGGTGTTTTCACCCATTTCATAAATCATGTTTATACATGTAAATAAATCCTTTAAAAATAATGTTTCACCCCAGAAACAGAGTAAGTGTGCTGATAAGTCAATAAGGCAGGATGTAATTTGTCCCAATTCTCAAGAAAGAGGGATATATTACACATAGCGTAGTAGTATAAAGTTTAAATTATGTTTTCATTTAACAAGAGACGCTGCATAGAGGGCAACTAAATATTTGGCCTGACCATGTTTGCATTGAAAATAACTGAAAAAATATTAAAGACAAGTAAAAGTGACTCATACTGACAAAATAGAGATCTGCAATGCGGAAGCTGAGATTTTATATAGATTGTATTTAATGTGTTTTTTCTTTTTGTATTAACACACATATAAACAATAATCTACCCCATTAACATAATAAATATAACTTATCCCTACCCACTGATGAAAATATCATCAAGCATCAAAGTATGGACAAAGATCAGACTAGTGGACCACCCAATTTTATTTAAACAGGGGTAAAAGTAGACAATTTGAGAACAGATAGAAGCTGAGTTTTCTATTGATCCCTATAGAATCCAGCCCACTGACTGGTCTGGTCCTGCATACTGATACATGCATTACACTCTATAGATCCAACACTGTGTATTTGATTGTGTTTGTGTATGTGTGTGTGGCTGTGTTCACATATTTTCTGTTGATTTATTTTGTCTGCACAATGTTATGTATGTTTTACTTAGCATTAAATGAATGTTTGTGTGAGGTCATACTTTATCTGCCATGGTTTACTCGTATGTACAAATGCTTCAGCAGGTGTGTTTGTGTGAGGAGTGTGCTGTTAGAAGTACCATAGCATTGTTAGACTCATAGGTCTCATCCCCTCTGCAGATCTAGTTTGTGTGTGTAAGTGTGTGTGTGTTGGGGTGTGGTGGCCTATCAATAGTTGCCTTGTGATTATTATTTAACATGCATGTAGTCATTGATCGGAGACATTGATCGGAGGTTGGGAGCTAAAGGCCAGCTCACATTAAGACTTTGCCTCCCTAAGGGGCAATATGGAGCATTATTATTGAGGGACAGTCTCAGCCTTTACTGCCACATATGCTGAAATGCACCTTACATGCCAGCTCAAAGGGAGATTACAGATGTGTGCGGCCAAATGGTTATGCACACACACACACACACACACACACACACACACACACACACACACACACACACACAGACTTTCAGGTGTTCCTGCATCTCTCCATCATTCGACAAGTCTATCTCTTTTTTCTCCGCCCACTCGTCTCTTTGTGTGTCCATTTATCACACCCACAGATCCACACTTTAAAGACAGAGCAGGGAGCAACATCTGATTTTAAAGCCTCCATCCTGGATTTAGTTTCGTCTAGAAATTCTGTGTTTTACATCTATGTTACAGAGCAATGGACTGTGTTTAATTCTACAGTACTACATTCATAATTCTACTTTTAAAAGTTGACCCTGGTCTGCAGTATAAAACACATGTTGGTTTATATTCCAATGCAAATGCAGAGAGGTATTTTGCACGTTTTTAAATATACATCAAAATTACATTTCTTTACAGCGTAAAGAATTTCCATGCGTGAGTTTATGGCCTTCAGTAGCATCCCTGTGTTCGCCTTGTTTGGATTTCAGATTGAGTCTTTAGCATCGCTCTCCTTTGCAGCACTGATCAATGACACAGCAGACAGAGGGGGCACAGGTACTGACAGAGACACATACTGTTGTAAACATCATCCGAGAGAGCTGTGGGAGCTTTCTGCACTGCAAAACATGTCTGCCTTTATTGCTAGAAAATTCGGAAACACAAGAATTTCAGTCAGCCAAAGAGTTCACTTTACACTTGGACAGCTGATGCTTATTTAAAATGCGCTGTCCAAATTACATCATATTCTAATAGTAACAAATAAATCTAACCATTACACCCTGTTTTGCTTTATTGATATTTTTAATGTAAGATTTATCTCAATTTCATGTCCAGATATGACCAAACAGACAACATCTGTGGGAAATTCTACAAATGCCTCATCAAATATCTTTTGCTCACATTTGAATCGTAATCATGTGCTTGTCTTCCTTCGCTCTCCAGACTCCATGCACATTGAGGACGTGGATGCAGTGCAGAAGCTCCAGGATGTGCTCCACGAGGCCCTGCAGGACTACGAGGCTTCCCAGCACCAGGAGGATCCCCGCCGGGCGGGCAAGCTGCTCATGACCCTCCCCCTGCTCCGCCAGACCTCCACCAAGGCCGTGCAACACTTCTACAGCATCAAGCAGGACGGCAAAGTCCCAATGCACAAACTCTTCCTGGAGCTGCTGGAAGCCAAGGTCTGAGGGCGGGAGAATAGACGGAAGGACAGCTAGACGCCAGTCTGAATCTCACTTTGAATGACCTCTTGCTCTTTTACACGCACACACTCTTTACACACATGCGCGCACACACACAGAAACATGTCCCTGAAGTATGTCTGCTGACACATCCAACTATGAACAAACAAGTAACCTAAACCTCTTACCTGAACCCCTGAACTTTCGCTGTCTTTGACAGAAGGCCGCTCACTTGACCTTTTGTTTTGGGGAAGAAGCTGACAGACTGACATGACCCCCGTATTACCAAGGCAAGAAGATATTTGGTTTTAAAACTATTAACAATCACTCAACAGTTACCACAGTGGCTCCGAACATTGAAGATGGCAAAACTCTTATGCATTTAATAACAGTTAAGATGTTATTAAAGACAAACACTTAAATGAGGACACATTTAAAAGAAACTGAAAACTCTTCATTTTAGTTCAGAGAGACTGTAAGACTGCACTCGTGTCTCCTTTTCCCTCCCTATTTCCCCCAACAGAGTTTTTTAAGTGTTCAAGAAGAAGACGAGTGGAGAAAAAAAAAAGAACACTAAAGAAGTATTAATGACGTTTGTTGTCAAATTACATGTACAATGAAATTTGGAAGGATGGACAGAAAGAAAAGAAGAGGAGATTTGCCCTGCCAAAGAATGGAGCTCATCCATTCAGAGGATGCCAGCAAACTTTACTGTCATAACCCAAAACTGTTTCTGGTTTGATCAACCGGTGGCTTTCAATGCTGGGCCTCAAGCTGGTTTTCTGCTCCACCCAGAAAATGTTTCTGGTTGTTATGAAAGCCAGCAGGGCCAGGACCAGGATTGGAAACCACTGCTGTAAACACTCTCTGGTTCTCCCTAAATTCAGTTCCTGGTTTCCCATGACTCCCGTACATCAACTACAATTTTACTATTTGTTGTATATGTTGAGGATCAGTGACCCTGGCCTCCCAAACCTGTCAGTATAACCATAGAATAAGTGTTTGCACACTTAATGTGGCTGAAAATGTTTCCAAATATTCAAACCGCTTGAGGTGTGATCGACTGACAGAGTCAAAAGACTACTCAACACAATAAGACGATCTATACTGTCAAGAATGGATTCCTGCTTGTCCGACTGGTAAACGTAGGCTGAGTCCACATTCATTCTGTCAGACACTCCTCTTGTGTTTGGACGTCTGTTTAAAACCTTTTCAGCTGCTCAGTGGCCCAGGTTTGTAGCTCTCCACACATAAGTCAGTAGAGATTTCAGTCTGTCAATGTGCCATTAAGAATAGTCCAGCCTGTGCTCTTTACCCAAACTCCAAAAACTGCAAAGTGTCACTTCAGTACTCCCCTCGTTGCTCCGTTACATTCACAACTTCCACCTCATCTCTCGTGTCAGCACGGAGATATATTTGTGATCCATTCAGGGAGTGACGGGGGCGCTTCAGTCACTCAACGCAATACGAACCAGAAGGAAAATGTGTGCTGACAAAACTGACTGAAGAACAACTATTGTTGCTTTCAAACTCCTTTTTTTTTATTTCTCTCTTGAAAATAATCTTAGCGATGATACCAGTATTAGGGTTGTAAATAACTGTCATCCTGTATATGACATATAACACGGCTTTGTTTTTGTTAATAATATTGTCTTCTTAAAACTGAATCAATCAATATGTCTTTCCTTTTTTCTATCAGCTTGACCACTTTCAGCAATTATCATATATATATAAATATAACAAGTAATAATGTATTAACAAATCAGCGTTTATCTTAGAGAAACTCTGAGCAATAGTGGTTTTTAAAGGAGGGGTTTGTGCATATGGACTAAGTCTGCAATATAAACATAACGTGCCAGTCTTAAATTTGGGAGAGAGAGGACGGGGATTTGAGGAGAGTTTGTAGCTTCTCCTTCTCTCTGTGTAACTTGCCATACGCTATTAGATAACAGTCAATATTTCCTTTGTTAGAGAAAGTTAGACAGGAACAAATGTGGACCAGAAATGTGAGGATGAGCTGTTAATGCCACCGTCACATAAAAGCTGTGTGAGGAACGGTTATGGTGAGGGCCGAAGAAGTAACACAAGCAGCTAAGAAAATTAAAATATCCATAATCCAGTTTGCCGTTATCACAGGGCTCTGATGTTTGACCAGGCTCTTTTTGCTGTCACTTTTAATCTGATGAAAAACAAAAGTTCTTTGTTTATAATCAGCTGTTTAGTCATGTTTCTTCAGCCATGTGGCTGAGTGTGGTGACCATTAGAACAACTTAAACCTGGATCTGTGTAGAGGGAGACGGTGCTCACAAAAACACAAAAAATCATCAATAAAAAAACATCATGTTGACAGTTTTATGTTAGCTCACTTTTCCACTTCTTATTGTTAGACACACATCTGTAATATAGCCTGCATTTCAGGTGAACAAAGAGAAGTCTCATCAAAAAGCATTTTTTTAAAATATGAATTTAATGACATTAATTAAATAAACTCGTAACGATAAGGACTTTAGGTGGCCAGTTTTATAGTAATTTACAGGCGTTTTTTAGGCTCCGTCTACACATAAAAAGATATTTTTTTCAAGTGGAAATCTTTCCCCCTACGTGTAAAAAATAATTCTGTCCACACAACCTTCATTTTACAAAATATCTCTTTATGCACTAGAACGCCAAAACGACTCCAAACACTCGCCAGCATTAGCTGTCTTCTGCAGTCTCCCTTCGTTGCCAAGGCAGTAAAGTCTACAAGCTAAAGTTACTTTTTACCAAACACCGACTGGAGGTCTCATTACTGTTGATTACTCTTCTCTTTACGAACGAAGGAGCTTACTGTAAGATTTGAGTGATGCTCTGGACGTGCTAAAGTCTTCCTTCGACAACCACAAACATTGAAGTGGACCAAATAACACTGGGCGCAGCAAGTTTAAGTGTAAAGTAGTCATTACACCAAGCATGCTAACAAAACATAAACAAAAAGTCCAGCGTCGTTATTGTTTCTGGCGCATGGTCATTACACAAAGCAACAGTTGACATGCACCCACTAAGAAGATGACATCATTATTTCCCCAACGCTCCATTTTAAATGTCCACAAGTACAAAGTAACTGGAGCTTTTGAAAATTGGCACCTTATTAGACATTTTTTTGAAAACTTTGTGGGCGAGAAGCCGAAACAGAGATGGAAAAATACTTTTTTTTTCTGAATGTGTGTAGACAGGGCCTGAAAGTCGAAGTGGCCTGTTAAATTTAAAGGAGCAGTGTGCGACATTCAGAGCATATCTGGGATTCAGAGTCTTTGGCAGGATTGCGTGCTCATGGTTCTCCACATGGAGGTGACTGAGCAGGCAGCTAGTAGCAAACACTGCTAACTCAGTATATAGTGCTAACAATAGCAACTGTGCTTACAGATCTAATGGTGTTAATCGGGGGGAAACCGGAGGGTGAGCGCTACACTTCCACGCAGATTCACTTACAAGGACTCACATGAACTAACATGCACGACATCATTATTCCACTATATCTTTCCATAGCAGATAGTGGTCTGCTGCTATATTAAGTGTTGCAAACAGTGACTTAATGTGCATTGTTTAGTGGCAAGAAATGGAAAGCTGAGCTTACAGGAAGCTGTCTGACATTTTACAATCAAATAAAAAAACAATTTCATTGTTACAGCAGGATCGCATGGCTGACTGATCACAGCTTTAACAGGTGGAGACAGTCGAGGGATTTTTTTTTTTATATATCATTGTTTATGTCATTTCTAAAGCCGAATAAGAATGCCAAAATGTGTAATGTAGATGAGGGTATAATCTAATGTAAAATGGCAACTTGTCACAGCTGAGGAGTGCTGCAGTTTAAGTGTAGTTGATCTCTAACATCACACGCTCTGTATCAAACATCAGTATTATAAGTAAGGGGTATTTTCTCAGCCTTCTTAAACATTGTATATTGTAAATTATACAGATTATAATTCTAACATAAGACATTTTATTGGAAACAAAATCGAGAAAAAAAAGGAAAAAAATGTAGTTCAGCCTCGATGTGTGTTTCATGTTCGCTGTTTTTTCTATCAAGAAAAAACCCTGTTTCTTTAGTTTTATCTGTTTCTTTGTTTTCAAGTCTTTCTGTTTGATCCTTTCCTCCTTTGTTGAGTCTTCTAAGGCGTTGCTGTGTACTTTTTCTTGTGGTGATTCCCGTTCTTGTGCCGTGTGCTTCTTCTTTAGACAACACAGAGTAGAGTAGAGGCCATGTTGTCTGTCTGTCGGATCAGTCCGCTGGGGGTCTGGGCACCGGATTCTCTCTCAATGAACCGAACCGGATATAAGGCTCTTCTTCTAGAAACTTAACTAGACCACCAAGATCAAATTACAGTACTCATCTTTACCAAACTATACATAAATAATTAAATATTTAGTATCTAAATGAAGAAACACCATACAAGTATTTAAAAAGGGATCATTTGTGTAACTTTCCTGTAGAATAAACAATATACTGTATATCTTTAGGTTTAAATAACGATGAAATGAAAAGGACATTTGAGTAATTCAGAACTGTAGGTGACTCTTTTTTGATAAACTCGCTGTACATAACTGCCTTCCATACAGCTCGGCTCAATCATCTTTACTGTTTCAGCAGTCAAAAAGAGAAAATACGAAGATGAAAAACTTTTTCTTTCCCTCCATCGTTGTGTCCTGTTTTCAGCTCATTTCCAGGAAGATATCTTGTTTTACCACAAAGAGTAATGATCGGACAGGTGAAGGTTAGGATTAAAGGTTTTTGTGGGTTGATGGGAAATGTAAAAAAAAAAAAAGAAAGAAAAAGAAAAAAAAAAGCTCGACATGTTTAGTTTGCACTTGCTGTTTCTCTTCTTCTCTTCACCATGCACTCATTACATTGTGGGACACGTTTCTGCTTCGGCCCCAGAATTAAGAACTCAAGATTTAAAACTCAAAGTCTCCTTTAATGAACGCGTTACTGTGCTTGTGGTACCTCTTTATACACAGTTAGATTTATAGATTTTCTGCTACAAATAGCATCAATTCAAACAACACATCGAAGGTCTTAAACATTAACATGTCATTTTTTTTCTTAAAAAGAAATATACACACTAATTATTTCACAGGTGCATAAAATAAATTTGCAGGTAAAGTCCCTGATGACAGTTGCTTTTCCTGTTTTGATTGTACCTTAAAACATTGTCTCATGGTCAGAACGATGGTATTCCTTATCATCCACTGTACAATGATCGACAAATAACCTATGGAAGAAAAGTGCTCTTTTCTCACTATTATTTTTCTTTCTTATGTTACTGTTTTTATTTATTTGTAAGTTGTCAAACCAAACCTGTGTACTTCTGAGCAATTTGACGCAATGAAAGATGTTACACGTCTCCCTGAGGTGATTAAGGCTGAGCTGGATTTGGTTAATAGCCTTTTTTTCAAAGAATCAAGTTTCTAAATTAGCAAATGCTGATATGTCTTTCTGAATTTTCCTAAATAACAAATTACCAGTGTCAAACGAGTAATTTATTGTAAATGATGGTCCTGGCAGGAAATGGTTCGCCGTATGCCACCTTGTTTTGCTAGTAAAAAAAAAACAATAAATCTACCAGCTATAATCAGGAGGGAGATTGTGTGATTCTTTCGGAGGTTTTGATATAACTTGCTGCTCATAGTTATTATTTAGATGTACAAAATGAAGGCGTTTTCATACATTTTTTTTGCTAGTTAAAAGGCAATATTTGGATGACTGTGCAATGATGAGACAAGAGTTGCACTTGTTTGTTTTGTGTTACACGTCTAAATGGTGTTGAAGCTTTTAAAATGATTCTGCAGTTAGTGTTAAAACCACATAAGAGACAACAAACCAAACTGGTATTTTCTAAGAGGAGCGTTGAAAGAAGGACTGACTGGGTTTTTGCAGAGCCATCGATAGAAAGAGTTTGACCTGGTTGCACTTTAGGCACCATGTTACCGCCCTCATCTGGAACTTAGATCCATTAGCTGCGAATACTCTATGTAACAATAGTTTAGCTGGAACAGAGGGATGAGTTATTTAGGCGTAAGGACAAAGCGGGATTGTCCATCTTCCATGGCTGCCCCTGAAATCTGCTAAGGCCAAACTGTGTCTATCTACAGCTCTACAGTGTTTAGTCATTTAGTTGTATTTAATCCCCAAATGTAACTGCCACTTGTGCTGCAGCTAACCCTGCAGTCTGAATTTGCAAATGTGAAGAAAATATTTAAGGGAGAGAGAACGATGACACATTTGGATACGAAGGATATTTAAAGGTTAAAAAGACCCCGTCGTGGTGGAGAAGAGTTGTGTACGAGAGAAGACCCTGTAGTGTTAATTAAAAAACATGTCCGTAGATTTTAGATGTGCTTCACATCAGTAAATGAAAAAAAAAAAGAAACAATAACCTGTATATTTTTGTGACGTGTATCATACAAGTGTGCTCCAACAATAATGTCCATTTGTGTAAATGTATTTATTTCACATTGTATATATTGTTCAATGCAAAAAGAGAGACCTATGATTCTGTAACTTAAACTACTATGGGTTGAAACATTACATGTGTTACTCCAGACTATGCCTTTCAGGATTATTACAGTAGAGCAATATCAATTAAAACCAGGCTTCCAGTTTTGACACCTGTCTTTTGTCTCTGATTTACACACACATTTCTTTTAGATTGGTACCAAACAATACGCACGTAATTTACGAGATAGTTCACAGAGCATGCATGCTAGTTTCCAGCAGTGCTGTACTTCGCAAGATTATGTTTACAACATGTTCAGACAGACAACAGTCCTGAAAAAAACACATGACCCCAATTATTTGAATGAGGCCAACTCAGAGGGCTCCAGCAGGAAAAGTTGAAGCTCAACTTTTGCAGCAACATCCAGCGTTGGGGAGGTCATTCTAACACATGCAAGCATAATTAGATTACTTTGTAACTCTAGCCTTCAAACTCATGGAGCTGTTATTCAAACTGAACTTCCTACATCATATTTCATGTCTCACTGGCATGGATGAATTACTGAATGGGCCTACCAGGCACAGGCCAAGGTGCCCTATGTTTCAGGCCTGGCCTTCACCTTCAACATATCACTCAAAATAAAACATAATGACCACAAAGAGACACAAACAGACCACAAAGAGATGCAAAGAAACTGCGAAGAGATCAAAATTACTACAAAAAATGAGCAAATAACCACAAAGACACACAAAATAACCAAAAATGACACAAAATGACCTCACAGAGACCAAAAAAGACCAAAAACGTCACAAAACTACAAAAAGATGCGAGAACTAAAAGAGACACAAACACAAAGTCTGTGTATCTTGCTATATGTAGTAGAGGTGGTGGGACATGTTGGTTAATCTAATCTCATAGTCCGCCCATGCTCAAAGGTCCCTGAAGCAACACACCCTCACCAACGTAGCCTCTTACATTGTTTTAACGCAGCTGTACCGCATGGCCTTTGTGCTCGCCAACCCATACATCAGGGGTGTCAAAGATATGGCATCTGGCCCTTCAGATCACTGTACTGTACTAAGAGATTATTGTACCGACAACATTATGATCCATCAATTTAGTCAGCCGTCTAGTGGGTATTGTAATATTCTCACAGACCTTTATTTCATGCAGACTTGGAAAACCATTGCTGGAAAGTTAAACAATGATTCCATTTCATTAAAAGTCTAATATAATTGTGCCGCTGACAGCTGTCAATGTCACTCATGCTTATTATATCTGTTTGCAGTGTTAGCAAGGTAGCTACCCAGCTACAGCTACTCAGTACAGTTAGTAATGTAGCAGAATGAACTGCGGTCAAGCCGGCAGTCATTCTTATCTCCATGGTCACATCAGCTAATGCAACAACTGTAGTGCATCCATATACTGACATTAATATGTGTTACATGGAATAATGCCTTCAAACGGCCCAGATTGAGCTGACGGGGGGACCTAGAGACAGACTTAGCAAAGTTTGCAGAAGGATTTAAAATAAGGTGTTATAGAATTACAAAGTTATAAAAATATGATTAATTGGATTGTAGAAGAAGTAAATACCACTAACTTGTGAGGGAAATGTCTTTATTCAATGATTTCTGGGTTGCTGGAAATAAAAATTAAAAGGTTTATTCCTGATGTTGAGGACATGTCTGACAACATACCGACACAAAACTAGTATTTAGTCTGGTTATAATGCAGTGGTCGATGGGTTTACAGGTCTGGTCTGAGTTATAAATGCATAGATTGTCTTTGTGTTATCTGAAGCACACTCGGTAAACAATGCCTGTCTCAATATTGGCCAGAGTGAGAGTTCATTTAGTCCAAACAATCCAAGTGGAGGACAAAAATATTAAACATGCTGAAGCAGTTGGGACAGTCCAAACAAGGTCAGCAGCACAGGAGAGAAGTCAAACAGGGGGATCGCAACCACACCATGCTCAATTCCATCCCAAGTGACCCTATTGATAAGGCCAAGAAATGAACCACACACAGCCAGTCATTATTGTAACACTGTTCAAGTGCCTTTTAACGTAGGTTAGCGACTTACTAAATGGTACTCCTGCTGTTGTCAAGGCAGGGGAGCAGCTTTATTGTTTATTTACCAAATGCAAATTGATCCAACACTCAAGAGCATTCAGACATGGCCTTAACGGTGAACTCTAGGCTACTGTTACAACCTTTTTGTTCCCTTAACTACCACGTTTGCATCAAAATGAAAGAGAACAGTGAGGAATGAGTGGAAGGGGGGGGGGGGCAATGGGAGGAGGGAAAAGGAAGTGGTAACAGCTTGCTCCAGTGGGTGGCTAACTACTGTCCATTCTGAATGGCCAGATCTCCTGCTCTTGCCAAGGGCACTAAACACACACACACACACACACACACACACACACACACACACAAAACAAAACAATAGAAGCTTTTTAGACTCCATCTCTCTCTTTCTGTCTCTGATTCTCTTACTGCTGTGTTTTAAATGCTTTTTTCCTTCAAACATCCCTCTTTCTTTCCATCTCCACATTCTTCCCTTTTTTTACTTATTCTCTCTTGCTCTGTCAACCTCACACACTCCCTTATTTCTCTCTCTCTCTCTCTCTCTCTCTCTCTATGTCCTAATAGCCAGCAGCAGTAAATGGGATGCAGAGGCCAGATATTTAATGTAGCAGAGAGCCGTGAAGAAGCCTTTTCCTAACAGGGGGAGCCCTGACCCGAAGGCAAATATTTTTCAACCAGATGACATAAGAAGATATTAGCGTAAAGAGAGCAAAGATTTTTACTCCTTTTTCTCCCTTCACTCGTTCCACAGTTTCTCTCTCTCTCTTCTCTATTTGGGCTGCTGCCTGGTCACCCGGCTCTCTGCACATACGTTTTATTTTACTTGCTCGCCTTTTGGAGTTCATTTATTTTATTTTATCTTTGATTCATTATTATGATACGATAAAAGCTACTTGAGCATTTCAGCTGCTGAGGGGCTCTTATCGTTAACCTTGTGGAACGCATGTAAGAGTGGGCTCCACACGCCGCATCGCTAATGGCCAACTTAACTCCTCTCTTCTCCTCCTCCACCTTCTGGCTTCATCTACATCTCTCCTTCTATCTCTGTCTCTCTTTCTCTCAATGTCTTTTATCCCTTTATCTTGCTCCTATGCTATCTCCTCTCTCATAATCCCCTCCTACTATATATTTTTTTCCTTATTTTTCAGTTTCTCAATTCAGTATTTAAATTGGTTGTATTTCTTTTGTATACAAGAACAAAAGACAGAGCAGGTCTATTCTGCTCTACTCAGCAAAACTGACTAATGAATGACACAGCGTTTTGCACTTAAAAGAGGATATAACCCCGATCTGTCGTTGCTGATAACTGTGATGAGCTGGGGTTTTCAGTGGTTTAAAACTCAGCCATCTGATGAGGCATTCTTAGTCACCACAGCCAATTCATTCATGGCAGATATTATTTTGGGGGTCCCACAGGGTAAATTTTTCGGCCCCATTTCATTTGTATAAAGTTTCATTGTTATGCCGGTGACACACAGTTATAGCTTCCCATAACACCTAATGGCACCATTATTCTGGACAGTCGCAGAGGCCATGAATCCATAAGCATTAGATCATTTTCAAATAACTCCATTACATAATTTATAATAAAGGAGATACACTTTTAAAGACAAATCATTAACAAGGGAGGTGTACAATATGATAGACATTTCAGTTTTGATGAGCAAGTAGACAGCATTTGTGGTGACAATTGTTAATTCAAGCTACTTTGTATGGATGTGTGGGTTGAAATCACTTCATATGATAAGGAATCCTCCATTTTTGGAACTTTACCTCAAGGTCAAGTGTGTAGGATTTAGAGGGGATTTAGTGGCAGAAGTGGAATATCATATACTAAGCATGTTTTCTTGAGTGTTTATCATCACCTTCAGAATCATTGTGTTTTTGTTAGAATAAGCCATTTATATCTACAAAGAGAGCAGGTCTTCATCTAAGAAGATCCCCATGTTTCTATAATGGGCCAGAATGAGCAAACCAAACACTGGCTTTTGATAGGACCATTCATGTTTTTGCATTGGCTGTCATGCAAGCTGAATGGCATTGGAGAAACATTGATATTAAACTTGCTTTATTCAGTGTTTTTACCAGTTGAAATCACCGGGTCCTTTTGTTTTTGAGAGACCTCAGTAGGAACCCTGCCCCTAATTAAAACCCAAGGAACACTGGACAGCCTTGGAGAAACCATGATTTGTAATGTCAAACTGCTTTATTCAGTGTTTTTCCCATTTTTAATCATCTGGTATGTTTGGTTTGGAGAGGAAGAGATGTCTTTGGATAATTTGGCTCCTGGTAAAAACCTACTGAACAATGAATGCTGAATGAATTCTAACCAGGAGCAACCTCATCGTCAGACCCCTATACAGCCTACAAACTGCTCCAGCATTGTTCAACCCCAGCTACTTTCTTGGTAATTCTTGGTCATTTTAACATGTGTGATGGGATGACATTCAAGGACCAAACAACATGTTACATGTAGCACCAAGCAACACAGTATTTGTAAGTGGAGAAAGAAGGACTGAAACCTTTGTCTATTGTGGACTTACAATATGTATTCTTAGGAGTGGCAAAGGCAAGCAACAACCTCCAGGGCTGAAAAATGCAGCCAACATAGAAGTGCCAAAAATGGCAGTTCCTTGAATGGCCACTTGGAGCTGGCTCCAGAAGCAAGTCAGTCACCATTGACCCCCATGTTAAAATGCCCAACTTTACAGCAAAAAAATAACATGTTTAAAGCCTGGTATGAAAATGGGTTTGGTCTCTATAGCTAATTTCAGCAACCAAATATGGTCACTTCTGGCTGGCTCCAAAAAACAAGATGGTGACAGCTGAAGGGCCAAAGTCAAGGCTTTTTTTTGTTTGTTTGTTTATTTTGTTTTTGGTTTTTAGAAAAGGCATTGGAATTATTTTCTACTCCTGGGGAAAGATCTTGCAGGTTTATTCAGAAACTATGATTTCATTCATGTCGTACACATAGTGAAACAAACGGATTCATTCTGACCTCATACTTGAGTCTGATTTCCTTTTAGAGTGAATCTTACTGGGTATGTGGGGGAGTCTGGATGTGATTTTCTCCTCCTAA